TACGTTTCACGAGAGTATACATGTATGACACACAAGACAAGTGACCATTTTTTTTTACAGTCACCGAAGAGGGGTGGCTAGCCACCCTTTTCATCCCCTCTAGATCCGCCATTGGATTATCTCTTCTAAAGGATGTACACATGACGAGATCCAGGATCTCGTCATCTAATCCGACATCTCTTCTAAATGATGTAGACATGACGAGATCAAGGATCTCGTCATCTGATCATCTCTTCTAAAAGATGTACACATTACGCGATCCAGGATCTCGTCATCTGATCATCTCTTCTAAAAGATGTACACATTACGCGATCCAGGATCTCGTCATCTGATCATCTCTTCTAAAGCATGTACACATGACGAGATGCAGGATCGTCATCTGATCATCTCCTCTAAAGGATGTACACATGACGAGATCCAGGATTGTTATCTAATCATGGAGGAATTAGTTAAACTACCGGTAATTCCTCCATGATCTAATCATCTATTCTAAAGGATGTACACATGACGAAGATCCAGGATCTCGTCATCTAATCCGACATCTCTTCTAAAGGATGTAGACATGACGAGATCAAAGATCTCGTCATCTGATCATCTCTTCTAAAAGATTTAGACATGACGAGATCCGCCATCTCGTCATGTGATCATCTCTTCTGAAGGATGTAGACATGACGAGATCCAGGATCTCGTCATTTAATCTTCTTTTCTACAGGATGTTGGTATGACGAGATAATTATCTACGCTTCCGTATGTATTTAGTTCTTGAACTGCAGTTCAATTAAAAATTTACTGCAGCGAGTTCTCTGGCCTCTGATTGGTCAAAATATGCATGGAGGGCGCTAAACTCTCAGTATTAACTGAATCCCGCTACAGTAAATTATTTTCTGCTTTGTGATTGGATGGAATTTGTTGCCCAGAAACTTGCTGCAGAAAGTTTAATATACCACCCAAACGCTTTTTACTACGATTTATTTGATTTGTCGATGAATTAGATAGTATACCACCATGCATGAAGAGTATTTTAACGTATACGTAGCACACTTGCATTTTACACCGATTCAAGATTCAATATCCCATTTAAATTTCATACACAAGCATTGTGTCCCCCCCCTCACCCCATCAGCAAGAACACGATGGTCAGGCGTAGGTCTATATATATTATTGTTACTACTGGTGAGATAATTGTTTAATTTTCAGCCAATTAGAAGGCATATATATTTATATATGTATGTACATATATATGTATATATGTTCATATACTGTATATATGTATATATATGTATATATTTGTATATATATGTATATAATATGTCCTGCATTTTACAGACAAATAATACCATAAATTATACACTGCACGGATCGGATCTGCGTGTCAATAAAAAACAACCTATATTTCACTCACATTTTCGATAATTTGAATTCAAATCCTATAAATTTTCGTGAATATATAACCTTTATACAAAAATTTACACAGCGTTTTTTTTAGTATTTATTTTAATTAACTATAGGACATTAAATGCATAAAAAAGACAACAAAAGGCAACAGTTACTGTAGATAAACATACTAAATGGACTAAGTGAGTCGAATGGCCGAGCGGTTAGCAGGGGCGCCGCAAGCTATAGCCATAATATCGGCGCTGGTTTTGGTGGTAGAACAAGTCTTCTCGGATAAGGACTATAAACCGTAGGTATGGAAGGCAACCACCGCCAAAAATAGAATTTTAGACAATAAACGTGCTTTCTCAAACAAACAACGTACATTTACAAATAAACAATGTATTTTTAAAAATAAACAACATACTTTTACAAACAAAGAACGTTCTTTTTAAAACAAACAACGTATATTGCCAAACGATGTATTTTCTCAAACGAAGAACGTACATTGTGTTACTAAGAACGTTCCATGCCAAACAAACAATGTACATTGCCAAACGAACAATGTAGTAAAATGCCAAATGAACAACGAAATCACCGGGGTATTTTTAATTTCGCGCATCACACGCTGAACTTGTCGACAAGATAACGCCCTCACCATCAGTTATCAAGTTCTTGAGGATATTTCCTGTACGATTAAAATCGTAACGGTAGGCCTACTGGGTTTGGTCTACAGGAGCTCGTGTTTCGAACAGGTCATTCCATTCACAGAAAAAGCCTTTAATGGTGAAAGCGTACCTGTCATTAGCCATAGTAGCCTAGGTCAATACATAACACCGGCTGTATACAATTTATTATGAGATTGAAAATGTTAAACTTATTATTGTAGTATTGATACCATGTACACGTTCTAGTTATTGTTATTTATTCATTAACGTTATTATATTAATATTTAAATTTAATGTGTTATTTAAGTATGAATTATTATGTCCATGTTAAATTAATCTTTCTATTAAAATTGTTTATTTAAATAATATAGTTCTCCGGTTTGCTTGCTTGCTTGCTTGCTTGCTTAATTGTTTTAGTTAGATACTCCCATTACTTGAGCACCTGTGAGTAATGAATAGCCGGGCCCCTGTGCCTTAAATTGCCTGTAAACTAAAACAAATGTTCTAGAAGTACGTATAAATGTCATTTGTAATGGTCGTTAGTGTTTTATGGTCAGTGCTTTTTTTGGGGGAGGGGGAGGGGTAACATTTATGCCCATAACCTGTGAATTAAAAATCTCATAAATGTTATTTTGGTAGCAATGTGTAGCATATATGTTTCTTAATCATATGCAGTTTAAATAAAATTAATCCGACAATTATTAACGTCACTAGAGGTCAAAAGGTCATCGACCTTTTTCTAAAATGAAATTTTTTTCATAAAATATCAATAAACTTCAGTGTCATATGTCTAATTTTGGATGTATTTGATACAAATTGTGTTTTTCTTGTAGTTATTAGCATATGGAATACAAAAATTGAGGTTAACAAGAAAAAAATTAAAATGCATTATGTACTATTGTCATTGTTTATGATCCGAGAAATTTGTAATCAACAACAGTTTTTGGGGTAGGGGGTAACATTTATGCTCATAACTCTTGATTTAGTCAATGGATTTGTATGATGTTGGTATCAACATTATTTTTAGCCTATAGATTGATCAGTCATTCAAATTGAAACAAATTTGAAACAGGCAGAAATTGACGTAGCTAGAGGTCAAAAGGTCATTGACTTCCACAGAAAAGTTGTAAATATATTCCCAATTCACTCACAAACGTTTACAAATCTAAAAATACATCGAATCAAATATATCGGTAGCAAAGCGTTTGGGTGGTATATTAAACTTTCTGCAACAAGTTTCTGGGAAATTCCAACCAATCACAAAGCAGAAAATAATTTACTGCAGTGAGATTCAGTTACAGCTGCGAGTTTGGCGCCCTCCATGCATATTTTGACCAATCAGAGGCCAGAACTCACTGCCGTAAATTTCTAATTGAACTGCACAGTTCAAGAACCGAACACTGAGCGATAGCGCACTCCATAACCGTCCATTTAGTTATTTCATGGGGGTATTATTGAGATGGAGATCGCTCGGCAACAGATCCCTTTGTTCCCCGCCTTTGGATCGCGCGCGGGCGTATTGTCCTATAATTCACATTTTTTCGTTAGCAACAACTTGGCAACGACATGCATTTATACGCTTCCAGCAGAGCAGTTGTGCAATAAAGCGTTTGATTTTTAACCCATTAAATATCTTTATAACGAACAATGTTCCCCTGATTAGATTTTTTCGGACTTTTAGTATGTTAGTATTTGTATATATTTCAGGAACGGATTCCGTAAAATATTTGTGTTAAAATTACTTCTGTGTTCAATTCTGTCTAAAGATTGATTGGTTGGACTATAAAGCTAAGTCAGTGTAAAACTGAAAAATACTCAGATTTTGGATTGATTTTTCGAATAGTTAACCCTCGTTAACCCTAAAATGACTTAGTTTATTATATAATCCTCAATCATTTATTAATTAATATCTGTTAAAATTAAATATTAAATATCTTTATAACGAACAATGTTCCCCTGATTAGATTTTTTCGGACTTTTAGTATGTTAGTATTTGTATATATTTCAGGAACGGATTCCGTAAAATATTTATGTTAAAATTACTTCTGTGTTCAATTCTGTCTAAAGATTGATTGGTTGGACTATAAAGCTAAGTCAGTGTAAAACTGAAAAATACTCAGATTTTGGATTGATTTTTCGAATAGTTAACCCTCGTTAACCCTAAAATGACTTAGTTTATTATATAATCCTCAATCATTTATTAATTAATATCTGTTAAAATTAGAATTAGTGAATTTTGGTCAATTTATGAAAATTGAAGTTGAAATATACTATACTTTTAAAAGTCATGTAAATGTTCCATTAAATTCGAAACTTTTTTTGGTGGAAAATATTAATATGTTTGATATTTTATGAGAGATAAATATGTATCAGCTGCAAAATGGAAACGATTGCGCAGCCATAGATTGATTTATGTAGTGCGCATCGAGAAAAGAAGGTGCTCTCCATTTTGCCATGTTCAATTTTTTGGTAAACTTTGATCTTGGCCCATTTGCATAGCGCTGCGTGCGCGTAGCTTTTTCGAGTGATCTTCACAATAATACCTCCATGGTTATTTGAGGCACCAGTATCTGGAAGGGCATAGATGAATTATTCCCTCAGTTTGCGTTTAGAGATCACCTGAATATGTCCTCATTGTATGACTGACATGCTAAAATGCCTTTCAATTGCACATATTTTACTTTTAGACCGGTCGTATATGAGGTGTAGTTGTGCTTTGTGTTCATCTGCTTAATTTGTACTTATAATTTGTACCTTTAAAAAGCCTAACAAAACGTAAATCAGGCTGAATTAGAAAACTGTATTTTCTGGTATCTCGTATTAGTTGCGCAGAATAAGGATTATTGCGCCCTCATAAATCGTACTGTAGGTCTTGCCTGTGTTTGGTACTGGTATTCAGTATTTATATTGCGCCTTTCCCTTGCGGTTAAGAAGCGCAAGCCAAGCCTCAATAATTCAGGAGAACAATGGTAGGCATAAAATCAGTCATTATTATTATTAGTCAGTGTTATTGCTTTTAATGCTAGCGTCAGGTGGTGACAAAGACTCACTCTTTACTCCGGGATAGTTTCAGAAGCAACAGGTTTGTAATGGTTAAATCATGGATGAACATGACACTTTCTTGTTTGGGAATTATAGTACATGTTCATAAACCTGGTGAGTTTAGGCACAGCCTAGGCTGGCAACACAGGTCCTCAGTCACTCAAAAGGGACGTTGTTCACGACTGTGTACTACTGATAGGTCAAGGAGGTATGCAAATTTTATACCTCCTTGTAGTATAGGCCCAGCAGTGCAACACATTACAATTTGTTTTGTTTTTTGAACCTATTTAATTTCAGTGCGTAGAGTTCTTATCACACCATCTTAATTTCTCCGCCACACAGTGTAGCTCACACAACCACATTGGACCGTACCACTTTACTTAGAGGGGAATGTTGGGCACCTAATCACAAATAATAAATGAAATAATATTGTAACATTTTTATAATGTCATAAATTCATTTTGGTCAGTCACTATATCTGATATATATATTTTATGGTACTGTATAATCAATAAGAACACTGTTTAAAAAAAGTCAAGGAGACAATCTTAGCCAAGACGCTCTATACTATAGTTAGAATTTAGCAAGCCTAGGCCGCCTTTGCCTACATGTATAATGGTCGAGTCCATCGAACCGGCTAAATCACGCTGCGGGTTTCGAAAAATAACTGAACGTTTTTAAACTGCTCGTAACAAAAAAGTAAACACTTAATTCTCTATGTTTACATATTACAAATCAGCAAAGATTTCTCTTACTTTTGATACAAAAATGGTAAACTTTATGCAAGTATTAGCTGAGAAATCGCTGTTTTTCTGTCAACTTTACACCAGCACGAGCGAATGC